CCCCAAAACCCCAAAACCCCAAAACCCCATGCAATACATTTCAGAATAAAATAGGAAAAATGATAATTAATAATAAATGTTAGATACACTAGTATACTTTCTAGTTTTAGGAGGTTTAGCTATTTAAGATAAAACAAGTGTAGATTACTAAATCAAAACTAAGAACATTTTGAGGAGGTTAAGAACCCTAAGAAATGCATTTCCAGATCAGGAAAATATATATAACAGCATGAATTAAAACAACATCTGCCTATTTGCTGCAGGCACAATGGAGAGTGGACCGTTTTTGACTTAGTTCCTTGAAGAGAATGGAGTCGAAGAAGCATACTTCAAGAACATTGATTGGACTTACTAAAAAGATGCCTTGATGAGAGCTTCAAATATCAATGAAGTTAAAATTCCAAAGGTCATACACTATGTTTGGTTTACAAACCCACTCAAGGAAAGAGAAATGACTGATGTTGCTCGCAACATTGAGGAGGTCGAGACTAGTGTAGCTGCTCTTAATTAGCACGGTTTCTCCTACAATCTCTGGGTTAATGGTGAGGCTAAGCTGAATAAAACAAGAGAATGGGCTGAGTCTCTAGGTATGAAAATCAGAGACATAGAGGAGCTTCGTGGTGATGATGCATTGGCAAATCAAGCACTTGATGTAGCTAAAGAGTATATTGCTGACAAGCAGTTTGCTGCTGCAGCAGATGTCACTAGAGTAATAATTGTACACAAACAAGGAGGTGTCTACATAGATGGAGATTAAGTCGTGTGGTAATATGATCCTATACTCAACAATTTGGACTTTTTCATGTACGCCCATCCATACTCTGGAGTATATATGATAGAGAATTCAATGATTGCCTCCACTCCTAATAACGCTATTCTCCGAAACTTACTTGAGGATATCGTGGATAGAAAAATCAACAAGAAGAAAGTCTTTGAATCAGAATGCCTTAATAGATCCTTCTACACTGCCTTAGCTGAGACAGGCCCAATCAGACTAACATTTGCCTACAATAAAGCATTGGAAGAAGGTTTTATGGAAAACAAATCATATATCATCTTGCATGATAAACTTAAAAATGATGATTGTAATCAAGAGTCTCATGATTATGAGTATTGCTCAAAGCTAGACAGGAACACACCCTTACCACATGATTAAAATTATGATTTAAAGTTCATTACTAGGCATTTCGGTGCTGGAACATGGTTCGACTTTAAGAAAGATCTTAAAAACATTGGTAGACTTAGAGATATTGCTGAGAATTGATTGATTGATTTTAAACAATGAATTTGAAAATAAGCTCGAATTATATTTGTATAAGATTAATAAAAATTATTTTTTATTTGCTAAATTTTATTGATTCTAGATCTAAGGGGTTTTGGGGTTTTGGGGTTTTGGGG